AAAGACAAAAGCACTTAAAATGACCATTGCAAGACCTTCTGGTCAAAATCAAAACACGTCACACTAATGATCAAAATTGTACTAATGATAAACTATGGCTATAATAATGTTTCTAACCCTGTTATCAAGTTAGATTTAACAAACTGAAATATACATCATAGCTATTAAAACACATTTCCGCAGCCATTTGAAACCTTACCAAGAGAATAGAAATGAAAGAAAGGTCCAGAGTAACAATATCAACTTTTTGAGGAAGTCCAGCAAGATATCTTAAGTTTGTCCTTTCCATCACACAGACACGTTCATCTCGGCGAATCTTATCAGCAACCTAAAAATTCTGCAGATCATTGATGCATCACAATGGAACAGAAGAAAGTGTGGGACATATTTGCTAGTTTCCTACATAAATATTAAAGGTATCCAAAGTGAACATTGGTTATCAATTCACTGGTTTAAACACTTCTGGTCAATGAAAGCAACAGCACTAATTACCAAGTCTTTAGTTCATTGGCCTCAATGGAGATGGAGAACCAGATCCTTAATTTCTGTCACATGCATTAACTTAATGACAAACTGTTCTAAACATAAATATATTTAGAGGAGAGAACAAGGTTAATAACTTCATACTCTTTGCAGCCTGAACATACCTCCTCCTTTTCCTCACTTGCAAGCCAGTTTCAGATGGATTTACAAGTTCAAATTACAACTAACTATAAAAGTTCCCTGCTTCCACTCAAACTCCAATATCTTGAATGGTCAATTTAAATTAGATCCTTTATGCTATATAGATAATCCCTTGTTATTGCTTTTTGTGTATATAAGAACCAATTTAATTTTAACAGAATATGACATTTCCTAAACAGTGACAGATCTCTTCGTTATTAAGATTGCCCCTCCTTTCCCAATGAAAAATCTTATCAGGCACTGTTTGCTCTACTTTTTGGGAAATTGAAATGATAGTAATAGGATTGAAGAAAGGGGTATTGTGGAGGAGGGTCAAAAGAAGCTGAAATATTGTGCTTCTCCTTGGGTTTCTTTCTAATACCAAAGAGATTTATAATTGACCCTTGTTGCTAAATTTGATTAGTTGGATACATCTTTTGTTATCTCTTAAGCCTGGGCTTGGATTTAACTTCTAGTTATCTCCCCCTCTTTTGAAGTTTCTCTTCTTCAATTCAATTACTTCTTGCATACAAAAGATGGACAAGTAAATAAAATTGCTAGTAGAACTTTCCCAAAAAACATGAGGTGTAGTGCTACTTTTATATTAGTGACATTTATTTACACGCTTATCAACTGTCAACTATATTAAGTAGATAACGAAGAATATGTATTAGAAAGAAGTTTATAAACTTTACCTGCCCATAGCCAACATCAACTCCGTAGACAAATGAAGCCCCATGCTGAAGCAAACAGTCAGTAAATCCTCCAGTGGATAACCCAGCATCAAGAGCAACTTTACCAGCAACATCAACCCCGAACTGTTCAATGGCAGCTTCCAACTTGAATCCTGCTCTGGATTTTATAAAATAAAAATAGTAAAGCAATTGATTATATTAACTTCAGAGACTTCATCTAGGCTAATGGGGATGAAGCATAGCATCGATATGTATGGGGAAAGAACAGGTAGCTTTCAGCGAAGTTTTATCACCTACATACATATTTCGGAATTTCAGCAATAATCTCAACCTTAGCTTTATCCCCAACAGGTGTTCCGGCTTTGCTGACTACTCTGCCATCTACCAACACTTTGCCTACACACAAATTTGTTCACAAAACACAGAAAGAGAAAGAAATCAAAAATAAAATGAAGTTCATCATCATCAACGAATCCAATCAGGCCTACCTTGTAATATCCACGATTGTATAATTGTTCGGCTGTATTGCTGGTACCTTTCCACGCAAATCTCATCCAACCTCCTCTTCTTCTTCCTAAGGAAAACAAAAACAGCTTCATTCCCTGGAACAGACTCAAGGTGTTCGACAAAATGTCAAGAACAATCCTTACAGGTTGAGTGGCTGAATCTTTCCCGACTTGGCGACGGAAAAGCTTTTAGGAGAAGAAGCATGCGCCGGAGAGCACGATAATGGCGATAAGAGAAAAATCCTTGCACAATTGTTACGATTCAGGAAGCTCTTCGACATCATTGGGGATTTGTTTCTTCCCCAGAATTACTTTTCGCACGATTTATGTGAAGGCTACTCTGGAAAAATCTCAGTCCTCGAAGGAGAATTAAACTTCAGTTCTTGAGGTCCGTCGCCATTTCTGGAGAATCTTGCACTTCGACATGATAGGGGTTGTTTTCAAAATATGTGTTTAGTGGTAGATTGGTAAATTGCATCTTAATATAAAAAATTGTTATTGGTAACTATTATTCGACTCTTTTTTTTTAGATAAATTATCGACTATATATTTAGTTGATTTATCAAAATCTTTGTACAATTATTATTTTACAATATTATATATTTTAGTTTTAAATTTTTAATTTTAATAAAATAAAAATAAATTATCATAATGTAATATATTTATCCAAACTTTTATTTTTCTAGAGGAATTCTGTATTATAAAATTTAAAATTCAGAATCTGAATCTTAAAACATAAAAATGTGGAAGACTCAAAATGAAATCGGTATATTTACGTAAAACAAAGGTTTTTATTTTTATTTTTTTTGTTTAGTTCTTCTCTCTATTATTCTCTCCCTCGTCTTTAAAACTTTTTTCTATATATTTTTTTTGTTTTACCTTCTAACTTTTCCTCGTTTTATCTTCTTTTCACATTTTCTATTACTTTTTTCTTTTATTTTCTCTCCGTTTCTAACTCTCTCTTTCTCTAATTCTGTTTCTATTTTCTTTCTCTATGCATTTTCATGCTGCATTGTTGTGTTATTTTCTCATTTTACGTTCTTGTTATGTTATAAATACTTTTTAAAGAGAGTAAATCAAGATTAAGAAGTTTAAAATAGGATTGAATCGGCTTAAGCTATAGGCGAGCGAGATGACCGTCTGAGGCCACCGTTATAGGGAGGCCTCATATTTTTCCTATAATATAAAATATTAGTATTTATTTAATTTAATTTTTAATTATAAATAAATTTAAAATATAAAATAATTTACTAATTATTTTTCATAATTTTTTTATAATATTGAAAATACAAGCTACTAACAACATCCACAGTTAATAAGTTTATAAATTCCTTTCAATTAAGCAAGCTTTCAAATTTGTTAACCATAATCTTTTTATTCATGTTCATTTCAAATTTCCTTAAAAATCTCAACCCATTAAAATAAGCTCCCAAAATTTTCCTGGCATAAGTTGGGAGTGCGGGAGACCTTCCATATTTTTTCACTAACCAAACACAGGTTCTATAAAAAACTTCATAAATATATTACATTAATTTTAGGTTGAACTATCTATCTCTGTGTCAATACTCTCCCCCTCTCTCACTCTCACTCTCAATCTCTCTCATATCTCAAATTTTCATCTTGATTTTCTATGTGGTCTCACGATATTATCAATTGCTAGAGTAAAAATCGAAGCTTCTTATTTCCTCAACTCAACCTATCGGCTTCAAAGTTCAATGTTTTTCATTCATAATTTTTTAACTTTTTTTTATAAATTATTTCATACTGCATGTTGATTGCTCAAGACCTAATATAAGAGATTTACTTATTTAGAATATCAATATGTGAAAGTATGAATCTAGATATGAAAATATAAAAGAAAATAATAGTAGAAAAACTTAATCTTAAAAAGGTGCCCTCGATAAATTTTTTATTGGAAGTAAAAGTAATAAAAATSATGAAATTATAGAAGAAATGATAAATATATACAAATCAAGAGATGAAATAAAAATAGTCGATGATGATATGGTTGTTGAATAAATGAAGCATCTAATTATGAAAAACAAAGTAGAGCCAAGGAAGTATAGAGAAAAAGGATTGCTAAGAAAATTGCAAATGATATGAAAATATAACCAATATTTCACGAAAAATAACSATTTGAAAAATAAAAAATCATTTGATGAGAATGTTGATATTGAAGAAAAACGATAACGGCAAGATTCAATTTCACGTATATAGAAATATCTTTTAACTTCTTATTTGATATGAAATTTTTAAAGTCAAAAATATTGTAGTAATCTTGAAAATATATTAAAACATGATATATTTACTGACATTAGCGGTTTAGATTTCTTTTTTGAATTAAAAACATTAGGAGAAGTCTTACAAAATTAAATTGACTGTACTATCAAAATATTAAATTATATAAAAAAAGTAAACACTTTTACAAATATATATATTGCTTATAAAATATTATTAACAGTGATTCTACTGAAAGAATACTTTTCAAAATTAAAATTAATCGTATTTAAGGTCAATTATGTCACAAGAAAGATTAAATGGATTAGTCATATTGTTAATTGAAAATGATATATCAACCAACTTAGATTATCAAAATTTGATACATAATTTTGGATCTCAAAAAGTAATAAAAATAAATTTTATATGATATTTTCTATATTAAGACCTCTAAATCAAAGTTTTGCCTAAAACTCCGTATCACCTTGAGCTGCCCCTGAAATAGGGTGAAAGGAAAAGATTGTATGAAAAATTATAAATTTTATTCGTTGAGCTATTACTGACGAACCAAAAGTTTTTAATCATTTTTTAAAGAATATTATACTATAAATACAACAAGGGTATGAAGTTCGAACTTATGACCTATAGAAACGTTTAGCCTTCAACCATACTCAACAATAAATTTTCAATATTAAAACATATATTACTATAGATTTGAAAAATCGACCTACCCAAAACTCAAATCAAAATTAAAAGAAGAAAAAGAATCCAATAATTTCTTTTTAAAACTTGCATGTCCTTGATAACAATTCGATACAGGTTTAAAGTAGGTTTTTTAAATTAGATGCAATGCAATAGTATAAAACTATCAACCATATTGTTTCAACCTATTCCAATAGTTTCTATAAGATCTCTAGCCTCCACTACAAGAAAAAAAAATCGTCGCTAAAGAATATTTTCAACGACATTTTATAAATTGGGTCGCTAATATAACTTTCAGTGACATCGTTATCGTTATGAGATGGTGTTGCTGAAAATACTTTTAGTGACAGCGGTTTCATATTCATTGCCTAATTGATTCTCCGTTAGAGAAATGTTGGAAGTTAGGGTTGGAAAACTTCTGAGTAAAAACTAATAAAGATAAATATTGCATTGCATTGCTCTCATGTGCCCAACCCTCCCTAAAAGCTCAATGGATGAGATTAAGAGGATTCTGAAATCTGACGGAAACGGATTGCAACTATTTGACCAAGGTTTCTGATGCAAATTTGAAGAACCAGGGTGAGTTCTTTGATTTCCTAATTAATTACTTTTCGTGAGTCCTAAAATTTATCAATTCAAGAACTCTCTCTATCCCCGTTTCTGATCCAGACCCACCTCTGTTCTCAGATTCTTAATTTCGTACCTTCCATTCCCTTAGGAGCCATTTTGTTTATTGGTTGATAGACAAAACAAGAAAAGAAAGAAAAGCCAGGTACGCAGTCCCTTTTCAACTTGTTTTTTCTTTTCTCAATAGTTGGGTGTTAAGATGTGGTGTTTATATTGTTGGATTCGTCTGTTTAAGAAATTGGGCCGATTGGCGACTAATGTAGAAATCATATCTGTTGTCATCTGGCTTTTGTTGTTGAAATTGCTGTTGAGAATCGAAAGGTACAGCCATGCTAGAGGCTACTGGGGACACTAGAAGAACCTGCTTTTTTATTATTTCGAGAAAAATTTGAATAGTTTCTAAGGTGCACTTTTGAAGATGATTTTAGTACATACTGGACCAAAGACCATAATTTAAACATGTTTGATGAACCAAAAGTTACGGTTTTGGGCTTCAGAAAGCTCTGATAAAATGTTTAGTGAAAGATTGATATCATTGTTTATAGCTCCAATGTTCTCAGCTAAGGGGATGAAGAAACCACATGCATGATAACATGACCATGCTTACCAACTGCAACCGAAAGGTTGGCAGAATAACAAGTATGACTATGAAAGAGATCCTGGATAATACTCCTAACATCCAATGAAATGAACGAAGAATGTGAAGAAGGAGCCTATTTTCTGGAGTTCGGGGGCATACCTGGGTTGTGCAGAGAAGGTGGGGCAGAAAGTAGTTAAAACCATTAGACATGTAAAGTATAGCTTGTACATTTACAACTTAAAATCTAACAGCGAAGTAAAGGTTAACTCCAGTGGAGCAAATTGCAGTCCATAAAACGATCCTTATTGGGATAAACTAAGAAAGGGTCAGAAGTGAATATCGATTTAGTAAAAGGGAAGAAAAATGGAATTTTTGTATTAAAATTAACAAAATGCTATGCAGATTAAAAATTAGACTTAATTTGTGTTGTCAAATCCACCTCGGATTAATTCATTAAGCCAAATCATTTCAACCATTAGTTCATATTTTGGTTCGACCCGGTAAGTAAGATGATAGTACTCAAAGTAGGAAACCAAGTGTAGTTCATTTATAAGTCCTCAAGCAACTAATTACAATTGAAGATTTAATTGTAAGAAATAGCCTGGATGTGGTGATTCTTCATAAAACTAGGATGAGAAGGTGGATAGAGGAGTCATCAAGTCTCTTTGGGATTCAAAAATTTTAAGTTTGTCTTCTTTGATACAGTTGGAACTTCGGGAGGAATTTTTTTTTTTTTAACAAGATTCAAAATTTTCATTGATAGATGAAAATGAACAAAATTGTTCAAGGATACAAACTCCCAAGATAGTGAAAACGGAAAATTAAAAAGAAGAACAACAAAACTAACAAAGAATTATAAAGGTCTCGTAATACATACAAATCATATTTGGGGAAAAGGGAGAGAAAACATCAGAAAGATCACACCATTGAGATGCCTTGAATTTGGCAATATTGAAACAATCTAGGGTCGAACGACGAGATTCTCGAATACCTGTTGGTTCCTTTCAAACCATAATTCTGAAATGATTGYCTTGAAACCATTCATCCAAAGAAGGTTAGATTTAGGCTGCGGCCTAACACCACATAAAAATGTGAGAATGTTGCTTGGAGCCGCTAGATCCTAGGCCGAAGACAAGTTGACATCGGAAAGAATAAACTCCAACAAATAGAAGCATAGGGGTAGAAAAAGAACATGTGGCTCAGAAATTCACCTTGTTCAGCACATAAGAAACAAATGGATGGTTGCAAGGCCATCGTAGGAAGCTTCTATTGAAGAACCTCTGAAATATTCACCTTACCATTTAGGAGAATCCAAATCATCAAGTTAACCCCTTCGAGGCTCCCCAAGCTCCAAAGAGAAGAGAAAAAGCCCTTTGGGAGAAACAAAACTGCACTATCAAGCTTGCAAAGWGAACTTACAAAAAATACTCATGAATTCTCCAAACTCCAGCAACGAGAATCGGTTTCCTCATTAAGGACAGCCATGGAAATACAAGATAACAACTCCTCCAACTCTACAATCTCCTGAAGCTGACCTTCCATCTCAAACATCCGAGACAGAGGCATACGTAGAAGAAGATATATTAAAAATAGGAGGAAATTTCTCCCAAGTATGGAGTCCCCTATCCACAGGTGATGTTAAAAGAGAGTTCTTTTACCATTCCCTACTTTGAAAAGGGAATACTTTTCMACCAAAAGTCATTGCTCGTTAATATTGTTCCAAGGAATACGACTCGAGCCATGAATCTKAGGCACCGCGTTCCAGCCAAAATGATCATAACCATATAAACTGGCCACCACCATATGCCATAAAGTCGAAATCTCCACACTAAACCGCCAKCCCCATTTGGATAAAAGGCATTTGTTGCGCTTAAGGACACAATCAATACCCAAACCGCCGGCTTCCCTAGGTAGAGAAGCAATATTCCAACGAACTAGGTATCTCATCGACCCTTTTGAAGAATCTCCTCACAAGAAAGAATGCATAAAAYGCTCAATTTGTTTGCCAATTCTCACCAGAATGAAAAACAGAGAAATAATAAATAGGAATACTCCCAAGAACAGATYGACATAATGTCAACCTTCCATCCCTCTATAAATGATACCTCATCCATATGCCGAGCTTCTTGGAGATTCTTTCTTGTAYTGGACTCCGAAAGGCATCAAGTTTAGGATTCCCTCCTAATGGCAAGCTCAAATATAGTATCAGAAGGCGYTCAGCTTTACAACTAAAGGAACTTGCAACATGCACCACTCTTTGTTCATCCATATTGATGCCACTCAAGGATGATTTTTCCCAAGACCTAACAACCATTTAAAGGCCCTTGTAGTCTCAAATTGAACATTTAACATCCCATCATTATCTTTGCAAAACAGTAACGTGTTGTCCGCAAATTGCAAATGAGAGACATGAGTCACATCTCTTCCAATTACGTAGCCTCCAAAAAATCCCTTGAGGTATATATTGTCTAAAAGACTACTAAGCACATCGCTAATAAATAAAAGGAGAAAAGGAGAAAGGGGATCTCCTTGCCTCAATCCTTTTATAGAATTGCTATTAGTATAGGTTGGGAATATTATTAGGGTATATTAGTAATTGGGTTAGGAATTTTGGTTATAAATAAGGTGAAGAGGAAATGATGAGGGTAGGAAATTGGTAGAANCTAAAGGAACTTGCAACATGCACCACTCTTTGTTCATCCATATTGATGCCACTCAAGGATGATTTTTCCCAAGACCTAACAACCATTTAAAGGCCTTTGTAGTCTCAAATAGAACATTTAGCATCCCATCATCATCTTTGCAAAACAGTAACGTATTGTCCGCAAATTGCAAATGAGAGACATGAGTCACGTCTCTTCCAATTACATAGCCTTCAAAAACTCCCTTGAGGTATATATTGTCTAAAAGACTACTAAGCACATCGCTAATAAATAAAAGGAGAAAAGGAGAAAGGGGATCTCCTTGCCTCAATCCTCTTATAGGATTGCTATTAGGATAGGTTGGGGATATTATTAGGGTATATTAGTAATTGGGTTAGGAATTTTGGTTATAAATAAGGTGAAGAGGAAATGATGAGAGTAGGAAATTGGTAGAACGGTTTAGACTTGAGTAAGAATACTCAAGAGAGGGGAGGGTCCAAGTACCTCGAATTACTTGGGTAATATTGTAGTTATTCTGTCTTTTATATTTCAATATATCATTAGTAATTCGAGTTCTATCATCCTCTTGAAGCTCTGACTCTTCCTCTCGGTTTCCCGTTGATGAATACAGAAAAGTTGTTGCCCCTGATACAATCATTAATCCATTCTACCATTTTCAGCCGAAGCCTTTCTGCTTTAAGACTTCCGAAAGAAAGTTTCAATCAACCTTATCAAAAGCTTTTTCCAAATTAAGTTTAAGGATCCATCCTTTCTTCTTCCGAGATCTACAATCCTACCACTTAAAAAGGCACTCTAATTACGGGAAATAGTGGAAGAAATGACTTTGTTAAGCCTTTTTGATAATACTTGTAGCCAAGATTTTGTAGGTTGTTGTAGTGAGATGGATAGGAGCGAAGTCCTTGCTTTCTCCACTCTGTCTTTTTTTGGTACAAAATACGTGGATTCACTTGTCCATTCTTGTGAAATTCAGCAAAGAATCTTATAAAATCGGTCTTCCAATATTTTTAGAATTTTATAAAAAAAAATCAGCAGTAAAGCCATTCGGCCCGGGGGCTTGTTTTTGCCAAGACCCTTTAGAGCTTCCCAAATTTCAGCCTCCTCGAAGCTTCTTTCTAACCAGCCCCTGTTCTGAACAGAAATAGGTCGCCCAGAGAGCCCAATTGGTAAGAAACGCTGCTGACCCTTGTTCAAGTAAAGAACTTCAAAGTAATTGATGATTTCCAGCTCAATGTCCCTTAGATTAACCAGGGAATTCCCTTTAGAATCCTGTAATTCAGAGATGATGGCTTTCCTTCTTTTTGCTGCCAAAAACCTATGAAAGAATTTACTGTTTTCATCCCCTTCGTTTAACCACCTAATTTTACTTTTCTAAGGAAGAATTTGTTCCTCACCTATATATATATCAAGCAGATTCTGTTTCAAGGAGCATCGATTCCCAATTTCCTCAGCCGATTAGCCCAAAACTTCTTCCTTTCCATCAAGCAACGAAATTTCCTTCGATGAGAAGGCCAGCCCATTCCTCCACCCCTGGTTCAGTGAAGTTCCTTATGAATTTGAAATCCCAGCCAAGATCAAAAGCCCTTTGGAGTTCACCACAGAATACAGCCTTGGAAAAGAAGATGTAAGAGGAGTGTTCTCAAGCCATTGGTCTTTCCAAAAAGGAAATTTGTCCCCTCTGCCCACTTCACATTTATACCACTTCTCAGCCTCTTTACAACACCCAAATGTGTTTTTCCTTTTTTAAAAAAAGGTACTCCTGGCTTCCTATTAGCATTAGATGAAACAAAAACTTGAAATACCAAAGAGAGAGAAATTTCACCCAAAACACTTACTTAAAAACAATCCATTAAATTGTCACAAACATCAATGAAAATTTTAATTTCTTTGTTTAAAAAGTAACTTCTTTATATTGCTTTAATTTTAAAAACTGTTTGTAAAAGAACTTTAATTTAGTGCTTTCATTCATTTCTTTAATGTATTAATTTAAACATGTAACACATTTAGACCAAGTTTTACTTTTAGGAAAATAATGGATGATTTTAGATAAATAATTAACTTAAAAAACACTAAAAGAACATATGAAAATAGCAAATTACGGTTTCAATTTGGAAAAATAAATACTTTTAAAAATCATTCTGCCAAACAACCTTTTTTCATTAAAAACTGTTTTTATTTTTAAAAACAGAAAACTATTTCTTAAAACACCACCTCCAAATAGCCTGAAAATATTTTAGCAGCACGCTCATTTGACCGGATTGCGAAGGATCAACATTATATATATAAGTTCCGACTCGACAGTTACAAGGCAAAACAAACTGCATGTCCCTGAAGGAGGGTGCATATACTAACCGACTGAGAAAAGATCAGGAAAGCAAAATAAAGAAATCTTCATTCTTAATTTCTTTTTGAACTTTTCATGTTGGGATTTAAAAGAGGTATATGATTGTAATAGTTGATTTTATCTAACTATAAAGTATTGAGTAAGGGAAACTACACAGACTGTAATGTATTGCAATTAGTCGATGATTCTGCCTTGGTATTCACTCTATTGATATGGTTTGACTTGACATTCTCTATAGAATTTTGAGTTATATTTGCTTGGTATTTTCCACACCAGTTGCTTTCATGGTTGAGAGTATATAACCATCTCTAGAGTTGTTGGCCTTTGTTTTACTGGACAAGCAAAGGTGGAAACTTTGATTGTACATTTGGCACTTGTATTTTGTCAAGTATATAGTTCTGTAAGAACAATATTCATTCTCTTTAACTTATGCAGGGGTCTAAATTATGGAATTGTGTAGGAGATGGAACCACTTGACTTGGCAAGGTTTTATAGTTGATGGGGAGAAAGCTATTATTCAGGTTTTATTTGTTGGTTAGGTTATTAAAAATTCACATTCTTTTAAAACACTCATAGATTTGATAAGAGCACACCAATGAGCCTATTTTCTTCGAGGATTATGGAATGGCAAGGAATGGATTGATTAAGCATCTCACGAGTGACTTCTTATTTCTTGATTCATCATATTTTGCCAAGCTCTTGAACCAATGCACTAGCTCAAAATCAGCTAGAGACACGAGTTGTGTACATGCTTGCATAATTAAATTGCCATTTGCCTCAGAGACGTTTATCCAAAATAGGCTCATTGATGTGTATGGGAAATGTGGGTGTGTAGATGTTGCTCGCAAATTGTTTGATGGATTGCTTGAGAGAAATATTTTCTCCTGGAACTCCATCATTTGTGCATACACGAAGTTCGGTTTTCTTGATGATGCCGTAGACATCTTTGAGAGGATGCCTGAAGTTGACCAATGCTCGTGGAATTCTATGATTTCAGGTTTTGAACAACATGATCGCTTTGATGAAGCTTTAAATTATTTTGCTCAAATGCATAGTCATGGTTTTCTGATGAATGAATATTCATTTGGTAGTGCCCTCAGTGCTTGTGCAGGTTTACGAGATTTTAAATTGGGTTCCCAAATCCACAGTTTAATATATAGGTCAAATTATTTATCAGATGTGTATATGGGCTCTGCTCTAGTAGATATGTACTCTAAATGTGGGAGAGTTGACTGTGCTCGAAGTGTTTTTGATGGAATGACCGTAAGAAGTAGAGTTTCTTGGAACAGCTTGATTACGTGTTATGAACAGAATGGTCCAGTTGATGAGGCTCTTGTTATTTTTTTTGAAATGATCAAATGTAGGGTTGAAGCTGATGAAGTAACGCTTGCTAGTGTGGTTAGTGCATGTGCAACTATCTCGGCGATCAATGAAGGTCAGCAGATTCATGCTCGTGTTGTGAAATGTGATGAATTTAGAAATGATCTTATTTTAGGCAATGCATTGGTTGATATGTATGCTAAATGTAACAGGATTAACAAGGCTAGAATAGTTTTCGATCGGATGCCAATTAGGAGTGTGGTGTCTGAAACCTCAATGGTAAGTGGCTATGCAAAAGCATCCAGTGTCAAAGCTGCAAGATGTATGTTCTCAAATATGATGGTGAAAGACGTAATTACTTGGAATGCGCTTATTGCAGGGTGTACACAAAATGGAGAGAATGAAGAGGCACTTATACTCTTTCGTCTTTTGAAGAGGGAGTCTGTTTGGCCTACACACTACACCTTTGGCAATCTCCTCAATGCTTGTGCAAACCTTGCTGATTTACAGTTGGGCCGACAGGCTCACTCTCATGTTTTAAAGCATGGATTTCGGTTTCAATCGGGGGAAGAATCAGATATTTTTGTTGGGAATTCTCTAATAGATATGTATATGAAATGTGGATCAGTTGAGAATGGTTGTAAGGTGTTTGAACATATGGTGCAAAGGGATTGTGTCTCATGGAATGCTATGATAGTTGGATATGCACAAAATGGCTTTGGTAATGAGGCCCTTGGAGTTTTCAGTAAAATGTTAGAATTAGGAGAGAAACCAGATCATGTCACGATGATTGGTGTTCTTTGCGCTTGTAGTCATGCCGGGCTGCTTGATGAAGGCCGCCATTACTTTCAATCCATGAGTGCACAACATGGCTTGGTGTCATTGAAAGATCATTATACATGTATGGTTGATTTACTAGGCCGAGCTGGCTGCCTTGAAGAAGCAAAAGATCTAATAGAGGAAATGCCGATGCAGCCTGATGCTGTCATCTGGGGATCCTTGCTTGCCGCTTGTAAAGTCCATCGGAACATCAAATTGGGGGAATATGTAGTAGAGAAGCTTTTAGAGGTAGATGCTGAGACTTCTGGACCATATGTTCTTCTCTCGAATATGTATGCTGAACGTGGAGATTGGGGGAATGTTGTGAGAATAAGAAAGCTGATGAGAAAGAGAGGAGTGGTTAAACATCCAGGTTGCAGTTGGATTGAAATTCAGGGTCAGTTGAATGTTTTTATGGTTAAGGATAAAAAGCATCCAAAGAAGAAAGAAATCTACACGCTTTTGAGAACACTTCTAAAACAGATGAGACGAGTTGGATATGTCCCATATGTTGTCAGCAATGAAATTGATGAAGAAGAGATGAAAGAACATGACAATGTCCTCGTCTTACCAAATTGAAATGTCATATACAGGTGACTAGATTCTTCTAGCTTCTTCTAACTAATCTAAATGGATTTGAAGGATATAATAATCAAAGTAGGAATTATATATTAAGGATTTTGAGGGGAAAAGCCAAAGCATTGTTATATGCTCACTCTTTTTTGCTAAAATTCAATGTAAAGAAGACGTATATTGCTCTAACTTTTTAATCAAAACATTGTTAGGATAGATTGTTAAATCCTGTAATGGGTCTAATCTATTCTCATGTTGTATTTCTATTTTGTCCAATAACTTGAAAAATATATCTCAGTTACCCTGTTTATCTACTATATTTGTTTTCATTTAGGACACTAATGTTCTTTCAAACGAGTTTTTGTGGAACAGTGTACAACATACACTTCTTGGTGGTGTTCAAACCATAGTAAATTATTTTGTAATTATAGATTTATAACCTCCCGTGATTTTGTATGATTGGAAGGTCTTGCTCTAGTTCTTTTGGGGGTAACCTCCACCTCGGCCCTTAGGCGCTGTTGTTCGTCCTTTTGATCAATGTGATTCTCTCATAAAAAAGGAAAACGTTCTTTCAGATAATAAAACTAGATGGTCTTAATTCAATCATCTAATTGTCAGTTGTGAGAAAATGTCCTTTATTTGTACATTTTACGGCGATGCGTGTTATGTATGCACTTTTGGCTTCCTCATTCGGATGTGTCTCATCAATCATGTAAATGGCTTAGTTCTTTTCATCTTGTTTGGTTTTTCCAAATGTTGAGGGTGCTGTTTTCCTTGATTTTAAAGGGGAAATTGAGGTGATGGGACTATATTGATTTGCCTGTGGTTTTGGGAGATTTGAGAAGAAACAATTGGAAAGATCTTTAAATATAGAGTATAGGGTTTGTTGTGTAGATGACTTGTGGGAGAGTCATTTTGTAGCTTCGTTACGACTTCCATATGAACAAATTTGTTATACGTCTCTTCTTATTATTGTAAATTGTATTATTCTCATTGTTTATATTTTTTGAGATGATTAGAAAGTTATATTATTGCTATTTTTCTTTTTAAAAAAATCTTTTCATTGATAGATAAAAAGATAAGAAAATGTTCGAGCATACTAACTCTCAAATTTGGTGAGTTGAAAAAAAATACCAACTTCAGGATGCCCGACAAATGAAAAGTTATCTGAATGCAATAAAAGGCTTGGATATTCAAGGATTTCAAAGCCCTGACCTCGGTATTCTCATGTTGGTAATGTATGTAGACTTCTTGATGAACAAAGTACCACCGTATGGAGAAAATCTAAAAGATCATCTACTAATAAATAAAATCTTAAAATCTAGAAGGTAAAAGATGATGTAAATATTAATATAGATATGGAAAACTAATATTAATATTTACATCATGAAACTTTTCTCAATCTTGTTGTACCCTACGAATTAACAAAAGAAATTGTACGAGGGAGTAGTTAAGTTCATATTAGTTTATGAGATTTTTATGATCTAATGCCAACTAGATTCTAGATTTTGACAATAGTAGAAAATTATATCATCCCTTATAATAGAAAGAAATACCAAGTCGTATAGGAGAAAGACCATCTATCTTTAAAAAAATCTAAAAAAAAAATTATCAAAAAAAAAAATCTAAAATTAAACCTAACATTAATATGTACAATTGTTGTATGTTTTCATTATATATATATATAGAGGATAATAAATTTACATGAAATCAAATCTATATTTATATTTATACTATATTAAAAAGGGACAATCCTAAAAAAAACATTTTTGGATTAATATAATTTTCCAAATTTCTAAATTACTAGACATACCACTACTAATTAATTTTATAAAACCAATTAATTAATTTATCCCTTTCTTTAGATATAATAACTTAATTAGTTAATAATTAATTATCAATAATACTAAATATATGGGATATAAAATGTTGGAATGCAAAAGGTGTTTTCTACCATTTTTAATTAGTTAATAATTAATTATCAATAATATTAAATATATAGAATAAAAAAGTCTTTTATACCACTTTTAAAAAATTCATTTAAATTATAATTTATAATGGAATTTCTAATATTTTGTAATTTTCATCTATTACTCTAAATATAAGCTTTCTTCTACAATTTTCTTCACAAATGCTGTTCTTTTTAGTCTTCTCAGTTCATTGTTCTAAAAGAGCTTTTCAATCTTCGAAGATGTCTCAAGATGATGTTGGTGACATATTCAAGTTACAAGGAAAGTAGATGTTGGATCTATATCTCGAATCCTAAGCTTACTCAAACTACTCTTTAATTTTCAAATACGTCTCAAGATGTTGGTGACATGTTCAAGTTGTAAGATTACACGTTGGATTTATATCTCAGAGTTTATGCTTATGACATTACAATTCCATTTTGTGATGGAGTTAAATTATAATATTGGTCAACCAATTATCAAGTCATGAGCCAACATGAACTTAGCTTAACAGTAATTGGCATGTGTATATGACCTCTATGGTATGAGATAATGCAATGTATATGCACGTAAGAGATATGAATGTAATGTGAAAAGTTAGAATGTAAAATGATTTGTATTCATTTATACAAATTAATTGTATAATATAATATTTGTATACAACTATATTTAATTTGTATAAATATATAAATTTAAATTATAATAAGATATACTATAAAATAAAAAATTTGATTCATATTTTATATTTTAGATGTCATTTTGATTTTTTTTCTTCATATAACACTTCTTATTCTTTCTTTTTTTATTTCTATTATTATTTTGTATTTTTTTAATCACACTAATTTTAATATATAAGAAATCTATTAATTTTTATATAATTTTTTAATTGATGCAATTTTTAATTGTAAATAAAAAAAATCAAGATTTTTATTTGTTTATTAACACAATTTGATAAACAACTATTTTTTTTCTTTAAATTTGATATAAAACTATTGGTTTAGAGCCAAAATTTGAATTAAATATGACAAAATCAAATTTCCATCGTATTTCTAGCCCCCATTAAATTTAGATTTCCTAGGTCCTGAATCTTAAGGATATTGGTGTTTTTTCTTTGGCCGAGCTCTTTCAACGCATCGAGTAATTTCCTTGTTTCTAAAACCGAGTAAGAACGTTATATCTTGAAAATGATGTTGTCCACAAGAAAGGGCTAGAGATACCTACGGATTAATTAGTTAATCAGTTACAAATTTTGATTACTAAAATCAAATAACAAATTTAATTTGATATAAATTAGAGATACAATGATAATCATAAGGCGGATGAAGATCAAGAGGAGAGGCCCTAGAAATAAAGAGAGACCCTGAAAGAGTAAACTTCATTGACCCCACAAGTGCCTCTTGACAATTCTCAAGGGTCAAAATACGTCAATAATAGTCAAATGGAGGATGGAGTTTGAGGAAAGACTAAGGAATCGGCCATGCATCAAGGATTTACCCACACATGCACTTGAACTATCGAGTATGCTCAACCCCTGCTCATGAACCTCGCAAGGACACGACCCTCGTTCGTCCGTGAGCGAACATACCCAGGCCAGCACCCATGTGCACGCCCCGCCAGCCCTCTCGCACATGCCTGCACTTCACTAATGCCCACGCCCGCACCATCTGCCCCTACACGCACTTGCGTGCCCATGCTGCCAGCTACTTGCATATATTCTTGCCATCCACTGATGCTCTAGCCAGCCGCCTAGACATTTAAGAAATCTTGTTTCCTGTCTTTGATTTGTTTGTTTTATTTCATTTTGAACTTAGCCATTTAGCTAGCATTTTTCGATTTAGGGAAATATATCAAATAATACTTTTTAATTCTATACGACCATAAAAGAAGCTCCCGTTGGTTCTTCAATGGCAGGCCATCCAATTTGCCACCTGCTTCATGCTAGGAAGGTTGAATTGAACTCGAAATCCACATGGATGAAAAGATGATATTGGATTGCTATTAGAAAACTGTAGCACATACTCTCTAGAAGGTGAATTTTTTGGGACAACTATTTTCATATAAATTTTAAAAATCAAATAGCTATTATGTGGTATTTAAACTTGATTCACATTACTAAGAATCTCAACCCAATTGGGGTCCATGCTTGAAGAATGGAGGGAAAAATTTGCAGGTAAAAACATCATCCGATTCTAAAAAACACATTTAATCCATATACTTCACCAAATTAACGAATTAATTCCTAAATTTTAGTTTGTAACGATTTAATCCATATACTTTAGACTAAAGTAATGAGTTAATCCCTGAACTTTAGCTTATAACAATTTAATCCCTATAATTTAAAATTTGAACTAATTTAGTCCCTATCGTAAAAAAATTTATTAGAATTAAGTGTCAAATTTTATCATATAACAATTTAATCTTACTAAATCGTTATAAACTTTAAATTACAAGGACTAAATGACTAAACTGTTACCAATTTGAAAGTACAAAGACTAAGTAAATTATTACTTTATCAAAAAGTACCTTCTCTTTTCAATTTTACTTTTATTAAGATGCATCTTAGTAGCACATATAAAGGAAACCAAAGCCTTTGCATACCAAGACTTGACTTTTAATGAAAACAAAAATACCTTTATACATGAAAATGCTTAAACAAAAAGAGGATTTTCAGAGAGGAATATAACCATCACCAAAGAATATAATTTGGTAATACAAAACAAGGCACGGCACGAGTCACGACGTATAATATACAGAGTTGAAAAAGATACATCAATCCTCATCACTTACGTAGTTTTGGCACAAGGATAAAAGGCCAGTGTTCATATCCTCTGTTTGTTCATTATCCACTGGGTTTGTCAACTCTGGTTTCTTAATAATGGAAACCTTAATTGACAAAGATTTGGAAACAAATCTAGCATCATCAGATGTGCCAACACTGCTATCGTTTCCTGTCAGTAAATAAACAAAAAAACTGTCAATAAAGTTACTGAGGCAGAAATAGTAGAGAAAATACGCCCTATGCATTTCCAAATTTCATAATTGCCAGGCAGCAACATAGCTAGCTATTAAAGAATTACAATCATTTTGGCATCTTCATAATACTCTAACATCGTGTCACAATTTTCATCAAAAACATATATCATAAAATATATTACTTATAAATAGAGCTTCATACATGCTCACGTTGTGGGATTAGGTGTGTTCAAATGACCCAAAGGCCCCGAAGAATTGGGTTGGGTTAAAAAATTTTTGGTCCATTAAACCTGAACCCAATGCTGACCCCTATATAATAATAAAAATATATCTTTTAGGATTCTCCCTCACATCTGGTTGCATCGTTAGAAATCCTAGAGTTCTCTTGCCCTTTGAACTGAGGAGGAAGAGGAAGATTGCGATTGATTTCAGAGAAAATGGTGGAACCATCCTTTCTCTCGTTTTCAAGACAGACCACCCTTCCTTATTCTCTCTCGTTTTTCACGACAGACCACACTTTCCTTATCTCTCTCGTTCTCATACCATAGCTTGCACTTCCTAATCTCTCCCTCTCGTTCTCACGCCATAGCTTGCCCTTCCTTATCAAAGTTAAAAAGAGCTTCTTCAAAAGGGATATAGTAAAATCGCTTAGCCACTACCGAGCAAAATACCAGTTTGGTTTGAACCCCAGGGTAGAAAAAGCTTTTTGAAAATTGAAAAGGACAATGACATTTATTCGTGTGTTAGCACTACCTAATTTTTACAAGGAGTTTTTTGTGGAAATTGATGCTTCAAGCTATGAACTGCGAATAGTTTTGATGCAACAGTTAGGTTATTTCTTTTAAGGCAGGACATGGAATGGAGATGTAATAGTCCTAGCAACATAGAAGTGAAGGCGTACTTCACGGGAAGAAAATTTTGAACTCAAATGCACCAAAAAAGTCGCAAGTACTTGTTAATGCAGTCTCAATCCCAACCAATGTAAGTTTGACATACATAACAATAATTGCAGAGAAACATATTGCCATTATATTAACCAGGAAGTGGGAGCAGATCCTTGTCTCAAAGTAAGAAGTCCTTGCTAGTGGGAGGGAAGAGCACCCTATTTCAATTTAACCATGAGCCAACTACGCTACAAAGGGGGGTTTGTTTTTAAGACATGTAAACAAATTCTAGTACTCCTTGAGGGCTGTTATTTTTCGGGAACCTAGATACTTGCATCTTTAGATATCCAAAATATTAGATATTCAAAATTACAGATATCTAGCATCTCTAAAGCACAAACATGTAAAATTAGTCAGTGTCCGTGTCAGACACGGACACGTCTAGACGCACGCTGAACATGTCTCTTACATGCAATTTTACGTATCTCAATTTTTTTTATTTTGGACACATGAGGGATACTTGTTGGACATGTGAAGGCTATTTTTTATTTCCTAAGCCCAAACTCAGAAGTCCAATAAGAAGCAAGTAGCAATTTTAAAAGAGAAACCTTAAAAAACTAAAAGCTAAAAACAATTAGACCAGAAAAACCCTAAATCTAACCACCAGTGACCGACCATGCAAAACCCCCTGCCCCGTAGACGCACGACAAAAACGAAGGCCACCCACCACCAACTTTTTGCATTCGCGCTAGCCTTGGCCGCCACCAACACCTCTGCTGCCAAGACTATTATGTTTTTAGACCCCTTTGTTCGCCACCAACACCTCTGCTGCCAAGACTATTATGTTTTTAGACCCCTTTGTTCGTGTGACCCCACTATCACCAAATTCTCTGTTCGTGTGAGTTAAATAATAGGTTTAATCTTTTTTTTTCTTCTAAATTTCGTATGAGTTAAATTAAAGTAGAATATGTTCTTCAACTAAATTAGGATGGCATCTTCAACCCAATTATCAAATTCAAATCTATCTCAAGACTCAAACTTTTTTTTTTTGACACAAGACTCGAACTCTTCTAATATTGAAGATTATTCAAAACCTCTTTGGCAATATGTGACTAAGATTAAAAAATTGAGTGATACAAGTGAAAATTTTTCATGGCAATGTAACTTTTGTCATGCTACAAAGAAGAGCTCTTATACAAGAGTTAGAGCTCACTTGTTGAAGATCAAGGAATTGGAGTGGGTCTAAAAGTCATTCCTAAACTATTGCCAAAAGAAGCTCCATGATAAACATTTGATCTCATCACATGACAATTATGATCCTTTTCACTGTGAGGTCAATATGAAACTTAGAGCCCGAGGTTTTTTTTTTTTTGGAAGGAAACAAATATTTCATTGATAGTATGAAATATAGAAAAGACCACATGGGCAATTACAAGAAAGCCCTCCAGCTTGTAATAAGATTGTTAAGAGAGTAGCTATTAAAAGGTGAGTAGAAACATTTACACCATCCAAGAGTTAAGAGAGTAACTCTGTCAAAAAAGATCTCAAAGGGAAGAACTTTATCATTAAAGACCCTATTGTTTCTCTCCAACCAAAGACTCCATAAGAAAGCCCTTATAAATTGAACCCACAGTGTAGCCTTTTCCTTTTTAAAAGGGTGTCCAAACAGTAGGCAGTCAAGGAAAATGGCAGGGTGAATGTGCAGTGCAGTTTTCCATCCAAAAGCAGTGAGGATAATGTCCCAAAAACGAGCAGCAAAAGAACAAGTAATGAAAATATGGCCCCGGTCTTCAGATGCCTCTAAACAGAGATGGCAACAGTTTGGGGAGAAAACGATGTGGGGAAGTTTCCTTTGAATCCTGTCGTGTGTGTTTATAGCGGCATGACTGAGCTCCCAACAAAAAAAACTTTACTTTCTTTGGACAGAGACCTTTCCAGATGCTATGGAACAGTGTTAGGGCGGGTTGTGAGGGAGTGGTAGATAGCACTCTGTACATAGATCTGGTGGAAAATGCTTTGGTTGATTCGTGTGGCCATATCCATAGATCATCATGGGTCGTAGGGGCAATCTCTAAAAGGGTGTGTGAAAGGCTTAACCACTCTGTTGTTTCCTCCTCTTTTAGATGTCTGCGAAATCTATAGTCCCATGATGAGGTGGTTTTTGACCATAGATCAGCAATCAGCAATGGTTGCCTCTTTATCTGTGGAAATAGCAAATAGAGCCCGAGGTATTAATGGGTAGAATAACACCTCTCATTTGTTTCACATATCCAAGGAGAGGTGCACACAAGAAACCTGAGGGAGGGAATACTTAGTTGTGGGACCTGTTAGATTCATTCTATTTAACGTAAATAGGAAGTGGAGCCATTAGAAGTAAGCTTGCTTGTAACTTGCTAGAAATATTTTATGAGAGCTTCGAACCCTTCAGCATCAGAAATCATTTGTACCTTTCTTTGTTTTTCAGTGCAACACCAAATGGTGCATCTTGAAATCATTCTCTATCCTTTTCTTCAATAAGAAACTTTACTTATATTTTTTGATAACCCGAAATCTATAGCTCTTTAGCATTCTTATACCTAGGGGCACCCGCACCTGTCCAAAAGATATCAAGTGTTCTTGGTACTAAGCTCACCCAAAAATTTATACAATACCTCATGATAGGGGATACCACAAAGCCTCACACCCTTGTCAATGAAGCTACCTCTACAGAAACTAAACTTATATTAATGAAAGAAGCCCAACCAAAGAAAGGGGAAATTGGTTACGATAGGCACAAGATCACAATTACAAAAAATCTCTAGAGAGGGAGCACCACATGGAGGAAAATTGTTCTCTATCATAAGCTTTATTTACCAAAAACCATACCAAAATAAAGTTAATAAGGCATTAAAAAAATAAAGTTAACAAGGCATTAAAAATCCACACGCCAAAATATTTTAAGAAAGGCATAGCAAAAAGTTCAAAACTAAATTTAGAACCTTTTCTCTAATTGCAGCATAGGAAAATAATTGCAACTTGTTAGTGTTCTTGTATACAGAAGAAGGGGAAAAATAGTTGAAGATTTAGTATCATAGTTGTATCATCCACATTCACCCAAGATTCTTTATCTAAAAGGTAAATGCTTACCTTCATCCGTGAGGCTATTAAGAATAACAGCTTTTGTCGAAGTACTGGTAGGATCATGAGGAGATTCTTCAAGAACCTTTTGCTTCTGCAATCCGATTAGATAGGAATGCTAATGAGAAAAGACATGCAAATTTGAATGCTAAAAATAGGCTGAACTAGCAAAGAAAGTATCTTCATGCATAAAATAATACAAATAGCTTAAGATTCAATAGTAGGGACAATTCTTAAACCTAATTCACTTCCTATTCGAAATTGAAATGTTAATGAGAGAAGACGTGTGAATTCAATACTACAAATAAGTTTAATTAGCAAAACAATATCTTTATGCATAGAAATAATACAAATAGCTTAAGATTCAATGGCAGGGATAATTCTCAAACCTAATTCACTTCCTATCCCCGCGTAAATTCAGCCACACTGAAGTGACGTTATTTGTAGAAAGCAAAAAAACTTGTTGGAATTTTGTTATATATAGGATTCAAAAATTGACAAGATTGACAATGAAATTGAGATAAATCTATAAACTAAATGAAAGTGCCTTACCCTTAATGCAGGTATGATCTATCAAATTTAATCTAACAATTAATATATGCTTATCAAAATTCGAAGATTAGAATGACTTTTGAGGTGATCAATCTTAATTGGGGGAATTAGTCTCCTCCTACAAATCTTAATTGGGGGAATTGGAAGTATGGCCACCCTCTCCCGCTCTCTTCCACCCTCCCCACTCCTTCCTCCTTCCCTTACCTCCCATCTTCGTCTCCTCCAACCACGTCTTCTTCCCCCTGGTTTCTAGCACACCCTTCAAAGTAGCAAGTAGTCATGGAAAAAATACAAAAACTGCCACACAACCATGATCAAAAGAAAACTCTTCTCAATCAATTGATTCTAGCTTTAGGGGTAGAAGGGTCTATATATCAGAAACAACAAAAGATAAAGCATACTCTATAGCTGTCCATTGGAGTATCCTTCAATGGATCAATCCTGTCCTGTACGACCTAAGAACTCCTTTATCTATATAGGAGCATTCAAAGTAGTTGTTGGGCTGAAAACTAACTAACTAATAGAAAAGTAATTAAATGCCATTAGGCTCCTAACTTAATGAAAAAACTAGTTGTTAGGTTGTTTTAAATTCAATCTAGCAGTTAGGTCACTTAATGAGGCTACGGATTACATCAGACAACTTTAAAATCTTCTTGGTTGCACCCTTAACCAAAAGTTTTCAAAGAAACACTTTGATCATCAGGTTCTTTGGATAGGAAAGTTGACAAACAAACTAGGGCACTCTACCAAACTAGTAAGGTTGGACTGCAATGGTGGAAAGAGCAAGATCCTAATCCCTGTGGGTGAATGGAGGCTAGAGCTCTTTTACACGTCTCATCTCTTTTTATAAGGCTACAAACACTACTAAATCATCTTTTAAAGAGATGGTCTTAAAAAAGACAAATGTTGGAAAAGAAGTTATTAAAGCTCACCTACCTGACCCCACTATGCTCCACTATGTTAATTACTAAGCAGAAGGTGAACCACTCTATTACATCCATCGACCAAAGGCTAGAAATAAATATTCTTCCTTCTGACTTCGACAAATCCATTGAGGTTGAATGAAAATTTTTCATGATAACTGGTATGAGATCCTTAAAGCCCTTCGAAAGGATGTAAGTGCTTATTGTTCCTTGAATCCCTTTCAATCTAATAAAGATTTCCCATGGAGGATGGATTAAGATAAAGAGATTTACTCATAGACAAATGGAATATGGAAACATTTAAGTTCATAGGTGAAGCATGTGGAGGTTTCAAGGAGGCGACCAAGAAACCTCTTAATCTGAAGGACTGGATGGAGGTCAGTATCAAAATCAAAGTTTCTCACAGGTTTCATACTAGCTCAAATTTATCTGCCGTCTTCATCAACTTCGACGGCATGAGACATGGTGGACACTTTGATCGTCAATCATGCTCCTCTCAATTTCTTTTTATATGGAAAAACCAGGAAATCATTGAGGGAAAAAAAGAAGCAAACAAAATCTACAGCCCGGAGAAGGGATTAATTGGCACCACTAAATTTTATTTTATTATTATTATTTTTTTTTTTTTGGAAATTAATTGGCACAACTCTCAAATTAGATAGTATTAATTTTACAAAGCACTTTAAAATCGACCTTAAGCGTCACCTAACCTCCCAAGTTCAATTCCATCTCAATCACAGAATGGAAAGACTTTTGAATCAAACTCAAACCAACATCCATGGATCTGGATCTAGTTCTTTTCCCGTCATTCAGGATCACATACTCCATATTTAAGGAAATGGAACTGTAGCTATTTTTTTAACATCATTCCAAAGCCATCTGAAGACATTTTAGTTGATTTACCTATACTAAAACACAAAGAAATTGGACATAGTTGATGTCGAAAGGTAGACCTTTCTGTCTACTCACATCCTCTCAAAATCACTTTTGACAATCACAAAAAATTTTCCGAATCAACATATTTACCCTATTAATCAAACATCCAAGACTCTCAAATTGCACAGCCAAATTCTACGTGGAGTAATTAAAAACTTGCTAGGACCCCAAATACACTAAACGAAATAAGATAACTATATTGCAATATCAAATGACGTTACAATATCGATAGCCTTTCGAGAGGGCTATATCTGTCCCAAATAACTATGCCAAGTTCCTTCGATGAGAGTGAGACTATTTCCAAAAATCCCCATACCTCCTTCCCTACCACTTCTTTTTTAAACAATAATTGCAGAAGAGGGGGGTGAGTATTAAGCTCCTTCCCTACCACTTCTATTTATAACAAACTCACCCCTAACTAATTACCATAACACCCCTAACTACAATACGAATACTATTCCCAAACTATCCCCATTAGGACTCTCATAAAATTGCACAACTAGCTTCGATGTCAAGTAGTTGAAAACTAAGGTAATTGAGGTTCTCAAAAACCTATTCCTTTTACAAATGTATCACTCACACTACAATGCTCACTATTTATCCATATCCACAAATTTATAAGAAATACGAGCTTCACTTACTACTTTATTACCTTTGCACTTGTGCCAGATGTTTTGTCATTGTTTGTAACAAAATGACTGCCGTCATCAAATTCATCATCAGGAATCCTTCTAACGTAATCTTTGGAGTTCTACAAAATATTATTAACCATGTACATTAAAATCCTTAATTCCTCACAAAGGAAAGAAAAAGAAATAACTATAAAAAGGGGAGGAAAGATACACAGAAATGATGAACTCACATTGAAGACTATCGATTTTATCAAAGCCTCATCCTCTTCTTCCAACTTCTTTTCCTGTTGAGTACACATTTGTCAATTATCCAAACAGTAAAACCAACACCATAAAATGAGATAGAATCCAGGTTTTTTCAAAATTATATCTCATTCATTTCACTCCAAACTAGGTTATACAATGAAAACATATGAGAATAATTAAATACCTTTTCAGCAGCAGTTTGTTGCAAAGCCATGAGCATTGAATCAATACTAACAGTTGCGTGTCTGGACTGCAGAACAAAAACCCACCAAGTTGTTTTAAACAATAAACTGAACTTATAGAAGGAAGATGTTAAAGATCAAGAGATATAATTAGATTCTCAATCAAAGCCTCAACTCCAGGAATCTAATCACAAAACAAGAGCCATAATGACCAAACAAAGGATAATAAAATGGAAAACCTTCATAGACTTCATCTCATCCAAAGCAGCAAGGATGTCCATCTCGCGTTTAGAATCCAAGGTTCTATTCTCCAAAGATTTCATAGGATCTCCCATCTCTTCAGCATTCCTTTTGTGTTTCTCCTTCTCTGATGCTTCATCCTCCTCACGCCATGGTTCAAAATTACGGGTGGCTCCTGATTCTACAACATAATCTGAGTTTTGAGGGTCTGTCTTAATGGTGAGCTCGGCAGAACATCTGGTGCACTTGAAGTAAAACCTAAAAATTTGAATTCCCAAATATGTCTGAGACAAAAGGAAAAGAAAAAACATGAGGACATGTGAATTATAAAAGGAACAAACGTATTTTAAGTCAAAAAGGAACACAAAGGGATTCTATTTCTCTTGCCTCGCCAATGACGTCCTCCTTGCGAGAATTAAACTTGGTGCCCTTGTATATATAATTACCACATGTATTGCATCGGATGCTCATAGGAAGCATCATACGGACCTTAATCTGCTGGTTTTTGGGCCTACGAACCCTAGGTAGCTTTGAAGGATCAAAGTCCGGCGGGTAGTATTTGTTGAGGACCTTCCTCTCACCCATTTTATCTCAAAATTTCACTGTAGGACAAAAAAGGGGTAAGGACATATCACTCAATGTCTAGAACATCCCGAAAACCATGAAAATCATATGCCATATTGTAAAGTAATGCACTTAAGAACAGTGACAACATCCATGTGTTCCTTATCAAGAACAAAAAGAACGGTGAAATCATGACATGAAAAAATCCACACTACAATATCAATGAACACCCAAAATAGCCCCTTGCATAACAGTGAACAACAAGAGAGTTCAACCTATGAAACACGGACACATTTTTAAGCGAAGTATCTGTGTCGGACACGTGTCAAACATGCATTTTGGCGTGTCTGTTTTTTTTTTAATCGGACACAAGCTGGACACGGGATGGCAATTTTGTGGGTTTTCTGAGCCCAAATAATAAGGCCCAATGCCCCTTAGAAATTTTAAAAAAAACGGTTGTCGTTCACCGGGACTTCGGTCGCCAGCTCCCCTGTCATCAGGTCACCAACTTCCTTGACCTTCCGGCCCCTTAGTAATTTAAAAAAAAAACAAATAAATGATAAATAACCTAATACCCACCCACGAAAACAAAACACACCACCCACTCCACGAAGCCAACGCCGCTGCACGCCTTCTTTGCTGCCAACGCCGCCGTTGCCGCTCGCCCTTGCCACCGCCGCCGACGCTGTCCCTGTCCTCTGTTTTTCTTTTTTTGCTTCTTAGGTAAACTCTAATAACCTAACTTTTTTTTTAACCCTATGTTTTTCTTTCATTTTCATATACTAAAAAGAATCCTCATTTATTTAAACTGCTTTTTAAATTTTGACCATTTTTATTTCACTAATTTTAAACTTTATTTATTGCCTGCCAATCTGAGTAAAGATATTTTTTTTAGTGTATTTAACATTTTTTTGTGTTAAATTTACCTATATCCTAAAATAATATTAAAAAAATAAACGTATCCCAAACGTGTCCGTGTCCTGATTTTTTAGGAATTGACGTATCACCGTGTCCTATTGTGTCTGTGTCTGTGTCCCGTATCCGTGTCCGTGCTTCTTAGAGTTCAACCATATCTTCTCTTATTCAGGCTACTCTTGTATTTTTTTGTCATGCCCCCAAATTTCTAACTCTAAGATGGAAACATTGGTAAACTCCTTTCAATCGTTCCAATCAGTTTCAATGAAAAAAGAAATTTTTTACCCTCATATGGAATCAGATTAAACTTTATTAACTCATCCATAACCAAAAACTCAATTAGTCCAATGAAACAATAGTAAATGTCTTGAAGATACCTACCATAAATTAAAAGTATTGACCCAACTTATTAACCAAACCTATCCTAACAAATCCCAATCGCAGAAAAACAAACAAAAACTCAATGGTCTCTGCAAGTCACTCCTCCACACCATCACCATGTTCATAGGACTCGTTGTCACCATTCACTAAGTAGCTCCACTTGAAGAGCCACCAACATATAATAATAATATGATTATCAATACAACATGCTTATCCCCTCTCTACCTCCTCTTCGCCACCAGCACCCTCCTCCTTCTCCTTCCCCAACCACGCCAACCATGCTTAATTCTTCACCCTCACCCCCTTCTGTTCTCCTCTCTCTGTCACCCTTACCTCATGGAGCAGCATACAAACCTCAGATCTGTTAAGATTGAAAGAAAGTCCTTCTCGATAGATAATAGATGAAAGTACCCAGGGTAGTAAAGTCCGGATCACTGAAGCAACAGAAGACAGAGCCTTCTCCATAGCTGTCCACTGGAGTACCTTGAGATGGATCATTGACAGTTTTAAAGACCTTATAGATTCCCCCCTCATCTATAAGTTTTTCAAAGAAAGAAGGATTGATGATCAGATCATCTGGCTAGAAAAAGTTGGTAACATACAGGGTTACTCTGCAGAACTAGTATGTTTGGACTCCAATGGAGGGAAAAACCGTATACTCATCCCAGCGGGACAAAATCGTTGTGGATGGGTATCATTTATTGACCTCTTATCTATTCACAACTCTGATATCAATGATGTTTCTGCACCCACTAAAGCCCCCCTCCATTAAAGTTCTCCTACAAGGAAGCCTCTAAGTCAAATGAGTTACATGAGTCATCGGAAAATACAACAATCTAAGAGCCCCAGAATTCCATTAACCCACCTACACAGAGGTCAGATATAAATGTTCTAGCCCTTGATCTTGGGAAATCGATAGTGGTTGAAAGAGAAAACATCCATGATGATTGGTATAAGATTCTCAGGGTCTTACAACTGGAGGTCACTAGCTTCTACTCTCTAAACCCCTTTCAACCTAACAAAGCATTAATGAGCTGTCAAGACGAGGACCAAGCTCGGATATTAGGCTCACCCAGAAGTTGGCAAAGAGTTGGACCCTACAAACTTCTTTACAAGCCTTGCTGTCCAAAAACCTTCACGGGTGGCTAGGTTGTCCCATCCTATGGTAGATGGATAAAGAATCGAGGTATACCTTTAGATAGGTGGAACATGGACACCTTTAAATTTGTGGGTGATGCGTGTGGGGGTCTAAAAGCCATTGCAAACAAAAACCAAGAACCTCATGGATCTCATGGAAGCTAGTATAAAAGTGAAAATAAATACAAGAGGTTTTATCCCGGTCTCCATCGATCTCCTGTCATCATCAGCATCTTCTTTGTGTGTGACTGTGGATCCTTTTTTCAAGGAAGAAAACTACATAGGATACATTGTCGGAATCCATGGCGACCGAAGCAAGGAGCCGACGCGTGAGATTGGGCGAGTGGAATTCCATCCTCCCAAAAAGGAGCAGCAGTCGTACCATGGAGAAGACAAACCCACAGATCTCCCTGCCACATTGATTAAAGATGCTGCAAAGGGATGTGACCATACGGTTGAGGATAGTCCATTGGATAAAAGTATGGTTACTTGCAAAGGTAAAATTTCCCCTTTTGTGAATGAACAAAATCGAAAAGATCTGCAGGAATTAATCCTTCCTTTACCCACTGGAGTTGATTTGAATTTTTCGATTTCCTTTCTAAATCACCCTTTCCCATCCCTATTCCCAATCCATCGACTGACGCCAACCCTCCCATATGCCCATCCCAACCAAACTATGTTATTTCCTGCCTAAATCAGCCAGCCTATGCTCCCTGACCCAACAGCTCTGACTCACTGCCCATACCCCAAAGCCATCACCTTTGGCAATAGACCATCTATGTTCATACCCAGGACGAAGCACTCCTCTTCCCTCATCCTTTATACCTTCTGAACTGGATATTGATGACTATATCTCAAGCACCTACTCCTCCTACCCAAACTCACCCTCCTCTCTGCCAAACCCACCCACCAGCCAGACCTCTTGCTCCAAAATCTACCCGTTCCTTCGGAAGCCCACCCAATCCCCATACACTCATTGCGATCCTCCCCCCATCCAACCCATTTCCTGGGTCTAATCTCTCCGTGGCTTGAAGAACATGGCCTCTGTATCACAGCCATCCCTACAAAGAAATGCAAAGGGAAGATCTCCACAGAGCAATCCAAGGGGCTTAGGGAATTAAAAGGCCTGAAAATATCAGTCACTTACGACAAGGAACAGTCCTCTAACCATCCTATGGGGTCACAACCACCCATATGATTGTTATTGCTAGGAATGTTAGAGGCCTAGGCTCTTGGCAAAAAAGGGCCCTAATCAAGGATCTCCTCAAGCAACACAACCCCTCCATCACCATTCTAGTTGAAACTAAGTGGTGCAATGTAGACAGAATGCTTATCAAATCAGTTTGGAGCTCTAGAAACTTGGGCTGGTCTTCTCTCGACGCGTGTGGTAGCTCCGGTAGTATTTTAATTCTCTAGAGATAGGAATGATTCTTCTTTCACCGTGATAGAGTTGATAGAAGGTAGGCACTCTCTCACTATCCACTTTAATCTGGCTTATGGCTTTTCTTTTTGGCTTACAGGAGTATATGGTCCATCTTCCTCAAAATATAAATTAGATTTCATCAAGGAATTATCTGATCTAGATGGCCTCTGTGGTGAAAATTGGATTCTTGCGGGTGACTTCAACCTTATCAGATGGTCGCATGAAAATTCTAACGGGAAGCGCCCATCTAGAAGCATGAGAGCCTTCAATGCCTTTATCTTTGACGCTGGACTTGCTGATAGCTTTCTCAAATGGCAGATTCACATGGTCAGATTTTAGGACTCCTCCAACATCAACTCTTATTGATCGTTTCCTTCTTTCTTTTCTGACTCCATTATCAGCAAATTCTCTTCAACCACAACAAAAAGGTTGGAAAGAATCACGTCTAACCATTTCCCCATCTCGCTGACTCTTGGTAAACAAAATTGGGGCCCCTTGCCCTTCAAATTCGAAAATATGTGGCTGCAGCATTCAAATTTCCTTAATTTTGTGGAGGATTGGTGGAAGAGTGATCCTATGAGAGGCCGGCCCGAACATGGATTCATTCAGAAACTCAAGGGATTAAAAGGTGTTATCAAGTCTTGGAATGTGGAAACCTTTGGTTGCATCCATTAAGGAGCTCCACCGCATTGACATGGATGAAGATCTTCTTCAATTGTCTTATGAAAAATCCTTTCAGCGATCTAAGATTAAATCTGAGCTTCTAAACCGGACAGCAAAAGAAGAAATTTTTTTGAGGCAAAAATGTGAACTTAAGTGGCACCTGGAGGGAGATGAAAACACTCAATTTTTCCACAATTACATGGCAGCAAAAAGGTGTAAAAACACCATCACTGAAATCATATCTAGCCACGACATCAGTCTCTTACATGAAGATGACATAGTGGCTGAATTTATCTCCTTCTACAAGCTGCTTTACACCAAAAAGGTCATACAGGTACATTCCACCTAACCTTTTCTGAGATCCTATTCCTACAGATCAAAATAGTATCCTTGAGGCACCCTTTACAGATTTAGAGGTTTGGCAAGCCATCCAAGCACTTGGTACGAACAAGTCTCCTGGACCGGATGGTTTCACAGCCGAGTTCTTTAAAAACTCATGGAACATCATCAAGGATGACCTTATGAAGGTGTTCCAAGATTTTTTCAGAATGCTAAAATGAGACTTATATTTGCTTGATACCAAAGAAGGTTGATTCTAGAAGAGTTGGTGATTATAAACCTATAAGCCTTACTACTTGTATTTACAAGGTGGTTGCTAGAGTTTGTCAGAAAGACTCAAGAAAGTGCTTCCTTACACTGTTTTCGAACAGCAAACAGCATTTGTGGCCGGTAGACAAATCCTCGATGCCTCGCTCATTGCAAATGAGATCACTGATGAAAGGTTTCAGAAAAATCAAAAAGGTGTGGTCCTTAAATTAGATGTGGAAAAGGCATTTGATATGTTGGATTGGGATTTCCTAGATTTGATTTTGAAAGCTAAAGGGTTTGGAGATAGATGGAGAAGGTGGATTCGTGGTTGTGTTTCTTCGCCAAATTTCTCCATCATTATTAACGGTAAGCTTCGGGGAAAAATCCTTGCTTCAAGGGGTCTTCGACAGGGAGACCCGCTCTCTCCTTTTGTTTTCATCCTGGTGGCGGATTGCCTAAGTCGGATTTTGACTAATGCATAAAAGAGCTCTCACATTCAAGGTTTCACTATTGGGCGAAATAATTTGCAAATTAGTCACCTACAATTTGCAGATGACACAATTTTATTCTCCTCACACAAGGAAGATGACATTAAGAACCTTTTCTCTTGCATAAATCTCTTTGAAGATGGATCGGGCCAAAATGTGAATAACCAAAAACCGCAGATATTGGGTATTAACTGTGAAGATGACCACATTTCTCACCTAGCAAATTTGCTAGGATGTAAAGCCAGCTCATGGCCTAGTTCTTACTTGGGCCTCCCCCCTCTGTGGTAAACCAAAAACAGCATCCTTTTGGGATCCCATAGTACAGAAAGTGGAAAGAAGGCTATTGAGTTGGAAGCACACTCATGCATCATAAGGTGGGCGTCTAACCCTTATACAAGCTACCCTTACAAACCTTCCCACATATTTTCTCTCTTTCTTTCTCGTTCCCAACAGTGTTGCTGAAACACTAGAGAGACTCTTCAGAAAGTTCTTATGGGCCGGTAATAGAGAGAAGGACAATATCCATCTTCTCAGGTGGGAAAAAGTTAAACTTCCTCTTGATGAAGGTGGTCTTGGCATTGTTGATCTAAAGAAGTGGAACAAGGCTCTTCTTGCAAAATGGGTTTGTCGTTTTCATTGTGAAAAGGATGCTTTATGGAAGAAGGTGATAGTAGCAAAATTTGGAGCTAAGCACTTCGACTTAAAACCGGACAACCACTCTTTACAAAGCTCCAAAGGCCCATGGAAATCTATTTTTAAGCAAAGTAACCTCATCTTTGCTAATATCCATTGCAAAAATCGGTAACGGTCAATCCACCTACTTTTGGTCAGACCTTTGGTGTGGGAGTAGACCTTTAAAGTTGGAGTATCACCTGCTTTATGCATTATCTCTTAAAAAAGACTCCTCCGTCGCCGAATCTTGGGATGATACTAGTGGGATATGGAACCTACACTTTAGGAGACAGTTGAATGATGGAGAAATTATGGAATGGACCTCTTTTTTTGAATACTATGCCATGCTTCAAACCCACAGATAGTAGAGATACTTGGTTTTGGCCCCTAGAGAAAGAAGGCAACTATATAGTTAAGTCTCTCTACCGAAACAGTTCCACAAACATCAGCTCTTTCTCTTCACAGCTTTATAAAGCTATCTGGAAGTCTTCTTATTCTAAGAAGGTTAAATTTATGATATGGGAGCTCAGCCACAACCTAAGAAGCACAGACACGAACACGAGACACGGATACGACACGACACAAACATGGCGACACGCCAATTTCCAAAGTAGGACACAACACTCTGGGGACACGTTAATTTTTTATAAACAATAATGTGTGTGCATATTGGAGGAGAAATGCTCCATTTGTCAATTTGCAGTGGCACTTGGTGGCAGCAGTTGTTTAAATCTTCCTAGAAATTGAAATTTTTTCTAGACTTTTCTTCTTCCTCCCTATTCCATGCGTCTTTCATCTTTTTATTTTGCCTTTTCTTCTTCATTTAGTGCTCCTAGAAATGGTAAGTTTTTCTGGTCTTTTCTCTTCCTCCCATGCGTCTTTTCTTCTTCTCTTCCTTCAGTTTTTTATTCTTTTAATGCTCCTATAATTTAGTCTTTTCTTCTTCCTCACCTCATCTTTTTCTTCTCCTTTTCATTCTATCTTTTCTTCTTCTTCCCATCTAACTCTTATTCTATTCTGATGCTTCTTCTACTTTAATGCTTCGACAAGAGATAAGATTTTGTCTTCAGTTTATAATTTTTCGACGTTTCTTATTTCTTCTTTTTATTCTTCTTCTATGTCTCTTATTCTTCAATATTTTTTCTTTTCATCTTCATTTTTCAACTCTCCTTATTCTATTTCATTTTTTACTGTTCATCTCCCATCAGACTCTTCCTTGTCCTCCATTTTTTCAACTGATACCTATGACGCCGTTGGAGCTCATGAAAATTTTTTATTTTTCTTAATTGTCGTGTCCCCGTCGTGTCCCGAACGTGTCCGCTAAATAAAAAATAATAAAAAATAGGACACTCTAATTAGTGTGTCGGAAGCGTGTCCGAGTGTGTCGGTGTCAGACACTGACACTTCAAGAATTTTTACGTGTCCGTGCTTCATAGGCCACAACTGCCTTAACACATTTGACAAGCTTCAGAAAAGGTGCCCTCGATGGTTTCTCTCCCCCCATTGGTGTTGTTTGTGCAAAGCAGCCATGGAAACAAATAGTCATATCTTTTTTAGTTGCTCCCTATCAACATCCATTTGGACCCACTTTCTCGCACCTTTTGGATGGAATCTTTGCCTCCCAAATGGAAACACATAGTGGTTTAGGACAATTTTTTTGATGCATCCTTTCAAGAAGGAGAAGGCTATCCTTCGGATGAACTTCAATAGGGCTTTCATATGGATGGTTTGGAAAGAAAGAAACTCTAGAATTTTCAAGGATGCTGAGCATGTGCCTCAACAATTGATTGATACTATTACTTTTTTGGCTTTATCTTGGTGCAAATGTGTAAATCCTTTCAATAGTTACAGTCTAAATTCTCTTATATCCAAATTCTCTTATATCCAATTGAAGAAGTTTTTTGTAACTTCATTTGTATAGGTTTTTTGTATATTTTATGCTATCAATGAAATTTGTTTCCTATCCAAAAAAAAAATTCAATACAACATGTTTGGTCAACATCATCCTCGATATAATTCAAGCTGGATACACAACACATATGTCAAACTAAACCTGAGTTCTAAAGGTCAGGCTCAAGGCTCACATTTGCAAACCCCACTAGAGTCTAATTCTTTCCAACTCTTTCTAATCCCTTCAAGATTTACCCTTTCAAGTTGTATCGTCCATTTATACCCGAAGTTCACCTACAACTCTCGACCATTTATACCAAAGACCCCAATACTCGCCTCCAATTACCCAAGGCCTCAACACCCAACCAAAAGTGACATATCAACCCCGACCATTTATACCCGAAGCTTCGACACTCACCTCACTTTCCTTTCTTTCTTTCACAAGGTCTCTGACCCTTTCCACCTAACATGCAACATAACTGTTTCCACAACTATTTCAACACAAGATTCTACCACATGCTTTTGCCAACAAAACAAACTTCTCACAACCATCCAGCATGCTTTCATAATCATAATATGAACACACAAGCATACGCACCCCTCAACAATTAACAACAGTTATCAACACAACTAACATGCTTTTGCCAAACAATAACCAAGCCAGATCCCTTAATTGAAATGAAAAGAGAGTTTAAACGAGTAATTACCTGTTACCAATTAACCCTTATTGAAAGGTGAATCGATGTCAAAAGGGTTCGACACTAGCAAGGACGATGCCGCCACGGGTAAGAACTCGCCGCCGCAGAAGAAACAGGGAGTCGCGCAGCCGCGTTGTTGGAGGCAGGAGAGCCCCCGCACCGCCGCAAGGAGGAACGCGCTGTTGAGGTTCGTGAAAAGGTGGCGGTCGCGGGCGGTGGATTTATGATGGCTGAAGCTCGAATCTGAGATGGAGGAGAAAGGGGTAGCGAGAGTGATGACTGAAATTGACAAAATTAGGGCTCCATTTTTTCTTTTTTCTTTTTTTGAAGGAAAAAGAACACAAAAAACAGACTTTCGCTCTTTTTCAAAAAATAATAATAATAATAATTAAAAAAAAAGACTTTCGTTACCGCCGTCTTTAACTATAGAACAATAAATCGAATTTTTTTTTTCTTTTTTGTTTTTGGAGTTACTTTTTGCTGTATAAAAATAAGAATTTCTGCTTAATTGACCGATTCAAATTCAAATATGGTTGGTGGGGTTTGATTTTAAATCCTCCCACTCTGATTTATTTTTAATTATTTCATTGTCTATTTACCTGCAATCATTTTAGAATTTGTATATTATTTTTTCATAAAGTTTAATTTTTTATTTAAAATGTATTAGATCTATAGATATATTTATTTCATTTCGTGTAGGATTTTCTATTTTATCTTCTTCGCATTATTTCATTCCAACTATTCTTTTATGTTACATTTTGTGGTTTTTTTCACTTCAACTGATCTTATAGAGTAGGAAAGGGACTTTTTTTTTTTCTAATATGACTTATTATTAAACTTATTCCAAAAATATATCATCTACCAAACTATTTTAAAAAATAATGCTCGAAAAATAGTTGTCGTGTTTGAACTCTTTTTATTTTAACTAAAAAAAATCTAACACAACCTTAAAACAAACCAAAAAAATACTTTAAATTAAACTCAACTATAAAAAGTCTAACAAAATCTTAAAAAAACAACATAGATAAAAAAATCTATAAGAAAATCTTTAAATTAACTTTAACTATAAAAGATGTAACAAAATCTTAAAAGACCAGTTAAAAGAAAACAAACTTTAAATTAAATTTAACTAACAATATCTAAAACAAAGCATAAGAGAAAATTCATGTAACTAACTGTTATTGAATATTTAAATTTTAAATTAAATCTAATTTTTTAAAAATTAGATAAGGTGGTGGTACCTTAAATTATAGTGAAAGATATGCAACCCAATAATTTTGAGTCATGCATCTCCAACTCGACGATGACTCGCAATTCACAAACCTCTCACTCCTTTGCCACTTCGATCTACAACAACGAGTGAAACTTCATTTTCTGCTTATGACATTTAGACTTGAGTTCTAAGTCTACGTAACACTTGTCATAGTTTTCTACTTTTTCATTAATATTTATGGGAATGTATCATTCTATTTAAAGTTTGATGCTCACAAGAAGTTGAATCGACGCCAATAAGTCTCTAGCTAAGACAATAATTGATTACAAGAGAGCATGTAAGGATAAAGATAAATTTTCATGACGGACAGGATAAGACCCTAACCGGTAACCTTATCTCAAGAAAACCTGTTTTTTGAAAGGTAAAGACAAGGTGTGGCCGACAAGATAAAACATCTACATCGCTCAATGTTTTTTATATAAAGGTAAAGTCATGATTATTTCAATTTTGTTGGGAAAGAAACCCATACCCGACGAATTTGTTTGCGTCGAGGAAAAGAACGTCATAAAAGTTTATAATTCTTTTAGTGTGAGAATTAAAATCTCATACAAAAATATTAACTCACAGATTTTCAAGATCAGAATATTTAGAATAACGAGTCTCGAAATGAAATGATTTAAACAAAATATTACGTTTTTTTTTTAAGACAAGTGTGCCTTAGATTAAAAACAACGATGAGAGATATATCCAACACAACAAATTTGAAAAACTATTTCCTTTTAGTTTTTATTTATATCTATATTTACAAAAGGAAAAAAGAAACATAAAGTTTATATTTTTTTGACCAATTTATTCTTTGAAAAATAGTTAATTATGGGTTGAAGTGTTGATATCTCAACGGGATGAAAATGTCATTTAAAATATTGATTAAATAATGTAAATGGATAGGTCTAAAAAATCATTTCTATCATAGTAATATTTTGTTGATATTTTTTTATATTTTGTGATTTTTTTTTTTGCGAGACTATGGAAATGTCAATTTACTATTTAGATTGATGTAGAATCTATGAATATATAGAAATATTCACGAGAGAAATTTAATCCTTTCTTTTTAATCAAAATTTGAAAAAATATTCTCTATGGTTGGAATTTTTACTATTATAACAAAAATCCAGTTTCTTAATTTTTTTTCTAGCATTTTTTTTCCTGATGTCCATTATATAATACATTTTTTTTTTAATTTTCTAATTTGTTGTAGGATAAACATATACTACTTCAAAATGTTATATAATATATAACTTTTAGCGATATATACTCAAATATTAAGTTATATCACATATACCTGAAGTACATGTGACATATATCCAAAATCTAATCCATATTAACTTCCTACCGCAATATAACCAACATATAGTTCATAAGATTTAGAGTTTGGTTGTCATTCACGGTTCTAAACAAATAAATTAAATACAAAAACTTGATTTAATAATAAAAAAAACATATACCCAACATATATTCCATATGTTTAAATATATACCCAACATATACTTATTTTTCTTCTTTATTAAGTAGCCCCTTTGGTGTTTCCCACCGTTGACCCTCCCCTCGTGGATGACGACCTTCGACAACTACCGGTACATCTTGATGACCCATCGACTGCAAACCCGTGGTTGGCGAGTTGCAACCTTTGACATGCTCCACGAACATATGCTCTAATCTCCTCCACTTGCCGATCGTCTTTGCCGCTTTCGAAATCCCTACGACCCTATAGCAACCCAAGAGGCTCGAACTTGTGGTCAACGATATGCAACCGTTGACACACTCCACAAACAGCAACCCATGAATGTTTGCTCCAACCTCCTCCACTCGCAGATCATCTCTGCCGCTTCCAAAATCCCCATCATCGACTTCGCAGTTTGGTAGGAGGATTTGGGGGAGGGTTTCACGATTTTGGGATTTGAGCGTCAAAAGTATATTTTGAATACCACGATTTTAAGACGGAATTTAGAAGATTGTTTTTTAGCGATTTTTTTTAATTGTTGCTATTTTTTTTAGTACAACATATTGGGGAGATGATTCGAACCCACAAGCTCTTGATTTGAGGTATATGTCAATTATCCTGAACTATGCTCGCTTTCGCTTCTAATTATTGCTATTAAGAAGGAATATGCCCGAACATTTAATTTTGATTGTCATTTTGTATTTTTTTTTGTTTTATTAAATATATATTTGTATGGTCTATTTAATAATTTATTTAAGGACACGCGTATTAATGGAAAATTTTTAGATAAATTTGTAAACTATTAACCGTTAAAGTCATAATTTGGATTATTAAATTGACTAATTGTGTAATTATCCCAAAAAAAAAACAATAAATAAAAAGATAAATTGTGTCCATTTTATTATCCCAACTCGCCCCACAGAACAAACCACAGAGCTCTGCCATGGAATCGCAGACCCTTTACCTCTCTGCTTCTTTCCTTCCCTTCAGTTCAAAACCTCTGAGCGTCTTCAATGGCGTCCATTTTTCCCCCATTACCAAAACCCATCCGTCAAGCCCTCTCCAAAACCCCCATTTCCTCGCAAAATCCTCCCCATTTCACCAATTAACGAAACCCCATCTCCCTCTCGCTCTAACCCATCTCTTGCTCACGCCTCTCCCCAGCTTCGCTCTGGAAACCGACCAATCCTCGGACAAGATAAACTTGGAATCCATTTTGCTTTCGATCGATGGCTTCTTCAACAGATACCCTTTTTTCGTTGCTGGGTGTACTTTCATCTGGCTTGTTGTGGTACCCTTGATTGAGTACTCTTTTAGAAAGTACAAATTCGTTTCTGCCATTGATGCATTTTGCAAAATCCGGGATGACCCAAATGCGCAGCTCTTGGATGTTAGAGATGGGAGGAATTTGGGGCTTTTGGGGTCTCCCAATTTGAGGATTTTGAACAAGGATGTGGTGCAGGTCGAGTATGTGGAGGAGGATGAAAATGGGTTTGTGAAGAAGGTGGTGGAGAGCTTTGGAGATGCTGCTAATACTGTGGTCTTCGTTCTGGACAAGTAAGTTTTTGCCTTATACTTCAAAGGAAATCTTGGATAAGAGAATGTATGTGTGCCTGTGCAGTTTTTCTTTGGCAGGCCAAATGTTACATTCCAACTTGTCATTAGGTATAAATAGTAAAAGTAGTAATAGATTGAATTGTTACCACCCCTATAGTGTATTCTATACTTAAAAGAAACCTTTATATTTTCTAAGAATTAGACAAATTAATAATACTATTCTAATAATTATACCAAGCATAAAGACTTCAAACCTTGGTTCCTATTCAAAGAGGCATAAGCCTCTTCTATGAAGAGGGGTAAGCCACTTGTGCCTTCTTTCATTCTTCTATGAGAGGCTCGCAAGCCTCTTATGGTTCAAAGAAGGCACGAGTCTCGAGGCTAAAAGTTAGAGACTTGCCTCGGAGGTATAAGTCTCAAAAGCCTTTTAAAACATAATGTCCTTCCTTTGAAATAATTTGAAAGTGTTTTCAACTATTCTCAACATTACCTGTGACTATGTAACAAGAAACAATGTTTTTAGACACTTTTCACCATCCCAAAGTCTCAAACTCACCCTAAGGAAATTGCAAAAAGGAAAATCGCTAAAGATCCTCGAAAATTTTGGCATTCTGAGAAGTTTTCCTTGACTGAAGATGATTTTCATTTGATATAAATGATCTTGAATTGTGTTTCTATTTAATTAAGTACTCAAACTCATTGAACATATTACTTGCGAGCATACACTATCATTTGGAAATTTTCATGCCTCGAGTCATGTCTAACGGTTTTCATATTTAGCTAATACTACCTAGATTAAACATAAGCCTCCAAATTTATTTGTTTTACTGTTTCAAATTTTACTCTTTTGCCAAGGATATGACTTCAATTTCATCAAGTGTTGCAATTTTCATGTCTAAGGTAGTTTTGACGGTAATTCCATGAAAGTGGCCGAGTTATTGTTCAAGAATGGCTTCAAGGAGGCTTATGCAATCAAGGACGGTGTTAGGGGCGAAAAAGGGTGGTTGGTATGCATCCTTATCTTGCTAATTTACTTGATATTTGTTCACCATACTCATATTTCTGTGGAGGAGGTTTTGCTTTTTTTTTTTTTTTCGCTATTCTGTGGGGTATTTGGATGGAGAGGAGTAGACGAATGTTTAGGGAGTGCAAGAGGTTTTGGAGGAAAATTTTGGATCTAGTTAGATATAATGCCTCTTTGTGGGTATCGGTCTAAGACTTTTTGTAATTACCAATTAAGTGTCATTCTCTTGGATTGAGGTTCCATCTTGTAGGTGGATCTCCTTCTGGTGGGCATGTTTTTTATATGCCTCTTGTATATTCTTTTATTTTATGTGTGTGTGTGTGTGTATAGAAAAGAAGCACAACCTAAAGGCCTAGGGATGAGGGATTTTGTCTGGGAAGGAGGAATCGAACAAAAGGTCTCCAATCTAAAAAAATGAGAAGAGAGGGATGGCACAGAAGGATTTGTGTGAGGCACCCTAAACATGATCACAAAAGTTAACGATAGTTTATGTCGAAGAAACATCATTAGAATTTCTTTCTTTCTAAAGAAGTCATACTCTGCAACGAACAAGAAATAAAAAACACGAAACATCAAAAACCATGGTCATCATCATCCTCATCCTCTTATAAAATCTATTGCATCATCCAGAGACTCTCCTTGGACATTCTCCCAAGTTTCCAATGTCCATTTCCTATTAACCACTATTTCTTATTTCTTCTCTCTTTGAGGTGATAGTGAGTTAGTCTTCTAACTCTTGAATTTAGAGGCAATTTTGGGTGACTTTCCTCTAGATATTGTAGATCTAGTATGCCTTAGGGCTTCTCTAGTACCACTAGTATGGGCTACATTCCCAACTTATCATGTGATTGCTCATTTTCTTCCTCCATCCTTCCAACCAATCATTTCAATTTCTAACTGTTTGTTTCTACTATACTAAGTGTATGTTTGGCATGCATTTGAAAGTGCTTTTGGAGGACTAAAAGTATTATATATATATATTTTTAAATTGGCATTGTTTGGTTAAAAGTTTAAAGAGTCTTGTAAGCAACCAAGATACTTTTCAAAATTTTTTATAATCAAAAGTGGTTTGAGATATTATAGAATCAGAAAAAGCGCATAAAAGTACTTTTAGATGAAACATTTAATTTGTTTTCTGTAAAAAGTGTTTACAAAATAAGTGCTTCACTTAAAAACACCTTTTTCAAAAGGCATCCCAAGCCCACCACAGTTATCTTCTTCTTCTGAACAATAACCACTTTCCAAGTGTTCTTTCTTTCTTATTTTCAAATGAAACAGAACCAGTTTTCAATTTCTAGCAGTTCGTTTCTTTCTGTTTACTAGATAATCTTCTGTACTGCTTAACCATAAATGCAGAAAAAGGATGACTCTGTGGCAAAGTGTAAATGGGACTTTATAAGTTATTTTTGAAAATTGCAACGTCTTCGGTGGCATTATGAATTATCAGATGAGTGATGCATAAAAGATTGAGAAAAGTTATTTTACATGTATCTAAAATTTGACAGGTCACTTTGGGAAAAATTGAAGACCAACTTAAAATCGAACTTTTTTGAAAATCAAACGGACTGAACCATCCACTAAAAGAAAAAACCAAAACAACTGAAACAACTAACTACATAAGCCAACCAAAATAGACTTCCCCATCTAGAACCAACCAAAATGATTTTGAAATTGTATAAATGTTAATCGACCAACATTACTGAATTGAATTCTGTTGGTATCATCATTTTTTTTTCAGTTTTCATTTTCATGTTTCTTTGCTATTTTGTGGAGATATGGATTGAAAGAAATAATAAAATCTTTAGGGGTAGAGGGATTCGGGAAGTATGTCTAGAAATTTTTTAGATTTAATACTTTCCTGTGGGGTCGGTTTCTAAGC